AAGCACATAGTTAAACTATGGAACTCGCTCCCACAGGAAGCAGCGATGGCTACCAACTTGGACGGCTTCAAAGGAGCATTAGGCAAATTTTTGGAGGAGGAGAGGGCTATGGGTGGCTATTAGCCAAGAATGGCTGTGCTCTGCTACCGCAGGCAGAGGCCACGATGCTTCTGAATACAAGTTGGAGTACAGGCTCAGGTTTAAGGTGTTGGTTTTGACCTTTAAAGCCCTACGCGGCCTAGTACCTACGTACCTATGGGACCACCTCTCCTGGTATGCCCCGCGGAGGACCTTAAGGTCCACAAATGACAACATTTTGGAGGTCCCAGGTCGCAAGGTGGTTAGGTCTCAACTGGGGCCAGGGTCTTTTCAGTACTGGCCCCGACTTGGTGGAACGCTCTGTCACAAGAGACTAGGGCCCTGCGGGACTTGACATCTTTCCACAGGGCCTGCAAGACAGAGCTATTCTGCCTGGCCTTTGGTTTGGACTCAGTCTGACCCTTATGTCTGACCCTTATGTTTCCCTGCCCTTATGGTCTTGATATATCGGCTACTTTTAAAATGAGGCTGCATTTTAAATTGCCTTTTAACCTGTATTTTAATTTCTTTTCTTTTCCCCCTATTATGTTTTTACTGTGATTTTATTGGTGTTAGCTGCCCTGAGCCCGGCTCTGGCCGGGGAGGGCAGGGTATAAATAAAATTTTATTATTATTATTATTATTATTATTATTAAGTTGCAGGAGGGAGAAGAGAGTGCTGTTGTGCTTGTGTCCGGATTGCTAGTTTCTTATTAGGGCATCTGGTTGGCCACTGTGAGAACAGGATGCTGGGCTAGACGGGCCATTGGCCTGATCCAGCATGTTCATCTTATTCCTGGAGGCGTGTTAGGAGGGAACTGCAATTCTTCAGCTGTTTTGAGTAGCATCGTCAGTCTGTCTGATGCTTTGAGGCAATACGACAGGGCAGGTCTCTGCCCTGAGATGCCTCCAATCAAAAATTCAACACAGCAGTGAAATAATAGGAGCAGAGGGAAGCAAGATGTGGACTAATAATAATAATAATAATTTATTTATATCCCGCCCTCCCCAGCTGAAGCCGGGCTCAAGGCGGCTAACAACAATAAAATAATACAACATTCTAAAATCATTTCATTATAAAATTAATTCCAATCAAATTAATGGCAACCATTGGGCTAGAGTTCTGTGAAGATAGCCAAAGGAGGGAGTCAGGCTGTGCCTTGGCCAAAGGCCTGGTGGAACAGCTCTGTCTTGCAGGCCCTGCGGAAAGATGTCAAGTCCCGCAGGGCCCTAGTCTCTTGTGACAGAGCGTTCCACCAGATCAGAGCCACAGCCGAAAAAGCCCTGGTTCTGGTTGAGGCCAGCCTAACCTCTCTGTGGCCTAGGACCTCCAAGATGTTTTTGTTTGAAGACCGTAAGGTCCTCCGTGGGACATACCAGGAGAGGCGGTCCCGTAGGTACGAGGGTCCTAGGCCATATAGGGCTTTAAAGGTTAAAACCAGCACCTTAAACCTGATCCTGTCCTCCACCGGGAGCCACTGCAGCTGGTATAGCACCGGGTGAATGTGGTCTCGCAGCGAGGACCCCGTAAGGAGTCTCGCCACGGTATTCTGCACCCACTGGAGTTTCTGGGTCAGTCTCAAGGGCAGCCCCATGTAGAGTGAGTTACAATAATCCAGTCTGGAGGTGACCGTCACGTGGATCACAGTGGCTAGGTCAGGGCAAGAGAGGTAAGGAGCCAACTGCTTAGCTTGGTGGGAATGAAAACATGCCGCCAATGATAATTTCTGAAAAAAATATCAGAACATTTTGGACAGTATAAACGCACCAGGAGAATATAGGGAGCTGGCTTATTACAGACCATTGGGTCAATCCAGCACAGAATAGTTTGCACTGAATGGCAATGGCTCTCCAGAATTTCAGGTGGGGAACATTCCCGGTCCTACCCAGAGATGCCAGAAATAGAATCTGCAAAAAAGCAAGTGTTCTCCTACTGATCTAAAGCTCCTCGCCTAAAAATAAACCACGATTCCAGGCCTCATGGTTCTGAATCAAAGGTTCAGGAACAGACAAAGTTGCCTTTGTCAGATCTTTCTCTCCTGTTGCTTAGTACTGTCCACACTGACAGGCAGCAGCCCTCCAGGATTTCAGGTTGGTGCCCTGCACTGATTCAGACCATTGGGTCTATCTAGCTTGGTGCTGTCTGCACTGACTGGCAGCTGCTCTGCAGATGATATTCTCAGCCCTACCTGGATATGCTGGGAATTGCAAAGCAGGGCTCTGTCGCAGAGCTGAGTCCCTTCCCCACTCAAAAAGCAGAACAAAACACCCCATGAGATATTACTGGGAGACCACCTTGTTTAAATTTCAGCTTACTTTTGGGCTCTTTCTTTTAAACAGGAGAGAAATGGTTCCTGCCAGGGTAGAAAACTGGCCAAGTGGAGGTCTTTGCTACTTTCAGCCCTTGGGCTGCCCTCAACACTCCAAAGCACATCTTTGTACATTTTTACTCCAAATCATCTTTGCTCAAATGGGGATGGGTAGGAGGAAAAGAAATCCTTTTTCTTTTAAAAAAATAAACAAAAAGATTGGGGAACTGTTGCAAGGATTTAAAAAGCCCTCTTGAGAGGAACTGACTTGGTTGTGGTTGGTTTTTTTTAATGACTATTCTCAAGACTCAAGCTCTGAAATGCTCAAGTTTCATTTTCCTGGCATTGGTGCAAAGGTACCAACCTGAAGTATGCTTAAGGATGGGAGAGAAATTTAATTTTGTTTGCAGGTTGGTTCAGAAAACAGCAGATTAGGCAGTTTCCCATTACAACGCAAGAAAGGTAACCCAACAATCCTTTGAAATCTACCATTTGTCAAATTTTGCAACCCCAACCAAGCCAAAGGCATGTATTGGGAGGAATTGTGCATCAAAATGTATACTTTAGTGAAACTTTCTCACACACATGCATATTAGGGGAAACTGCTTGCAAAAAAAAATATGTATATTAGTCAAAACTGCATAGAAAAACAAGCATTGTGAGAAATTCACCCTAAAATGCGAAATAATTTTCATGAGGGTCTTCCTGTCTCCCGCATCCTAGTCCAACACTCTTACCACTACAGCCACACTGGCTTTCCGATGTGGAAATGCGAAAAACTTAACTGGAGATTGGGAAAAAAATGGGAAGCAGTGGAGGTAACTGTGACACATTTGCTCGTCCTTAATCTAAGCAGCGTCACCCCTGACAGACACCATTGCCATTGTACCCCCATGTTTAAAAGGGAGGAAAGAGACTCCAGCAACGAAATAAAACAAAGGATCCGTGGGCGGTGGAATTGAGAGATTCCGCGCTGGAGGTAAACAGACTACAGAACTGGAAGCTGTATTGACAAAGGAGAATTTACTGTTCCATGTATAATCAAGCTAATGAGGTCATTTAAGACGTTTTCTTCCTGGCCTCAGCGCACAAACCATGGCCCAGGAAGCACCATGCCTCTTAATTTCAGTTCGCTGTGGATTAATGGTGCTTTGAAACGGGGTGCCTTTTCCAGTCAACAGTAATAATCTGAAATCAATTGGGATTCAGGTCGTAAGGCTACTCTTGGGTACCTCACGCCGCTCGCCCATCCCTCCTCCCCTCCACCTGCTAGCTTTGGTCTTCTTCATCAAGAAACCCAGGCGCTGTCTCCGCTTTAGCAAAAGCAGCAAAAATAAATAAACAATATCATTGTGGTTTATCTATCTACTGGCACAGGGGGGCAAATGGGAAGAAGAACAGGTAAAGAATCGCAGGTGCAAATGTACTCCCTTCCACAGGGTTCTGTGAAGAGCGCTCACATTCTCCGTAAAACAAGGGGAGGCAAATTTAGGTTTCTAGTCCACTATGTGTTCCATGGAGAAGGTTCACATATTCTCAGCGGAGGCGCATCTAAACTTCTAGTTCACTGGAGCAAAACATGTTTTTAAAAAGTCTAGAAAAACACCAGTAGCAAAGAAGGAATAAGCTCAAGGAAAAATTCAGCAGATATAAATTGATAAAAGCAACAAGGAAATAGGAAACATTTTTTAAAAATAGAATAATAACGTATACATAATATATAAGATATATATTGTTCTATAGATATGTACCTATCTACACCTACACAGTTGAAATTCTTCTTTAGAAAATTAAATGGCTAAATCAGGGATAGGGAACCTCTGGCCCTCCAAGCCTCTCTATCCGGCCCTCTGGATTCTTCCTAGGCCACACCTCTCCTTGAGTGTTTTTGCCTGGCTAGAAATGTGCCTTTTACCTCTTATCATGCCTCTTTGCTTGCCTGGATAGAGAGAGGGGTGTGTGAATGTGGGTGTAGAAACTAGCCTACTGCAGCAAGGCAAGATTCACATTTCTGGCTCCGCCCACCAGTGGCCCCCAGAAGGCTGCTCAGAAGGGAATACGGCCCTCGGGATTCTAAAGGCCCCCCCTTCTCAGAAGAATTACTGATGAAAGAAGAATGGGGAATGAAACTGATGGATTATGCAGAATTAGATAAATTAACAGGAAGGGTTCGAAACCTGCAGGACCAGAAATTCTTAGAAGACTGGAGTAAATATACGAACTATTTGAAAAGTAATTGTAATGAACAGATTACGCTAGTAGGACTGCAAGAAGTTCTGTAAGGGGGACTATTTGAAATATTGCAAGAAAGACTATGAGGAGAGTTATTAGTGAATGATAATTAAGAGTAATAGAGAAATTAAGAAATGCAGAATAAGTGATAAAGAACGAAAAATCATCAGAGGTGTTGACAGAAGTCTAAAACATTGTAGAAGATATGAAGTTATGTTATATGATTGTTGGAAATGATATGTTAAAAAAACCAATAAAAATGTGTATATGTATACACACACACACACACATATATATAAGGTCCCCCTTCTCTGCTGTAAACAGTTGATCCAGTTAAACTCGCAGATACAAGTTTCAAAAGAGGATGGTTTATAGACTTACCCGCTGCCGTCTGAATGTAGCCAGCCAGGGTGCAGACCCTCCTCTCGCACGGCCCGCTGGGAAGGAAGATCACAATGACAGCCAGGAGGGAGCTGAAGGCTAGGAGAGCACAGCCCCCCGAACAGAGCACAGCACTCGTCTGAAAATATGAATAAAAAAAAAACACATTCATTGTTACATTTATACTTCCGTTTCCTCCAAATTCTCCTCTTCCCTCTTTTTATCCTCACAACCACCCTGCGAGGCAGGTTAGGCTGAGAGCCTGAGCCCAAAGTCACCCAGCGAGTTTCTGGCAGAGTGCGGGATTTGATCCCTGGTCTCCGGGGTCCCAGTCCAGCACTCTAACCTCTACACCGCACAGGCTCTCTGATGCGCCACTGTTCAGTTAGCATGGGTTGACCCTCTGGTTATCTGCTTCAAGCCAAGAAATTAAGAGGTGTGCCGTCATAAGTACGGTGGGGGGAAAGTGGACGGGTCTGGGGGGTTTAAACAAGCTGGAACCACATGCACTTCCAATGGGAACAGGGGCTCTGTAGAGCACCAGATTGTGCTGGACGCCCAACTCCCGCCAGCTCTGACCATTGGTCACGCTGGCTGCCAGGAGCTGGAGCTCAGTATCAACTGGAGGTCAGAGGGTCAAAGGGGTGAGTGGACAAGGAAAAAGATAACGTCTTCCATTTGTACACACACACACACACACACACACACACACCGTTAAGACTACCAAGCAAACAGATCCTTATCACTGCCACAAGCACATCTAATACCAAACTTGGACAGTCAGGTGCCAATCATTTTGGTGGCCTCAAAACAAAGAAGGCATTTTTGCACATTCACAGTGGGCAGGAATTCTACCTCTATATCTGCTTGTTAAAAAAAAGTTAAACACACATCGACAGACGAAACGATATATGATTTCTGACATGACTGAGAATCGCAGAGCCAGAGACAAAGAAGTTTAGAGTGTTAAAATCGAGATGTGGGAAATATGGAAATAACGACGAGAGGCAGGATTGAGATTTGGAGATGTGCTTCAAGGTCCAGGCTATGGGAAGTCCAAAAATTAATAATTACAACTTGGAAGATAATTTGATCTTTTTTTAATTTTAGTTTTTTTAATTTTTATTGGATTATGACTTGCCATGTTAATTGGGTGCTTTTTATTGGAAAATTAATAAAAACGATTTAAGAACAAAAAAAGTTAAATCCACCCCAACCCCCCAAATGGCCTGACAACGTCCCCTACTCAGTGAGTTCCCAACTGGGTGTGTCTGGCGGGGAGAGGGAATTGGCTTGCTTGAGCCCTTAACGCAATACCTGGGGAAGAAAATGTTGGGTTGGGGGTGAGGCAGGACATGTGAGCCAGGAGATTAAACCCTCTTTAGGGGCTGGACCTGGACTGTCCGGCACGCAGAGCAGCAACACTGCTGCTGAGCCGGTCTTTCTGCAGACAAAAAAACCATTTGCCTTAATTCTGAACACTTTTTCATCAAACGCACAGGTACAGGAAAGGCAGGTAAGTCACACTGCCTTTTACTCCAGGGATAGGGGACCTTCACCAGCCCAAGGGCCGCTGTCCCTTCTGGGCCACCTTTCAGGGGCCACATGCCAGACATGGGAGGAGCCATAAAGGTAAAGGGACCCCTGACCGTTAGGTCCAGTTGTGACCGACTCTCGGGTTGCGGCGCTCATCTCGCTTTATTGGCCGAGGGAGCCGGCGTACAGCTTCTGGGTCATGTGGCCAGCATGACTAAGCCGCTTCTGGCGAACCAGAGCAGCGCACGGAAACGCCGTTTACCTTCCCGCCAGAGCGGTACCTATTTATCTACTTGCACTTTGACGTGCTTTCGAACTGCTAGGTTGGCAGGAGCAGGGACCGAGGAAGGGGAGCTCACCCCGTCGCGGGGATTTGAACCGCCAACCTTCCGATCGGCAAGTCCTAGGCTCTGTGGTTTAACCCACAGCACCACCCGCATCCCACAGGAGGAGCCATAGAAAGATGCATTTCCAGCCCAGCAGAAGTACCCACGAATGGTGCAAAGCAAGGGCCATAGAGGGGAATCACCTGCAGGTGGGGGTATGTGGCCTGGAGAGAGTTCTGTGGGCCAGGCAGAGAAGCCTGAAGGGCCAACGCCTTTTGTTCTTACACACAATAATTAAAGAACATCATTTGTGTGATGGCCTGGGAATCCGATTCAGAGGATGAACCGGAGGAATCCCAGCCTGCACAGGAGTCCCCGCCTCCAGGGCCGGCTGAACTGGGGCAGGGCCTTGATTCTGAGGAGCCTGCACCTGTGCCGGATCCTCAGGAGCAGACACCAGATGTATCCTCTCTGGCTCCGGAGGTGATTGAGGACCCACTGCCTACAGGTGAGCCTCCCCCTGGGCCCAGTAACCCTTCCAGCCTCTCCTGAACTGCAGAGGCTCAGGGCAGAGAGGTGAAGGGAACTGGTTTCTCCCAGGAGGAGTGCTCGCCTTAAGGCCAGGAGAGGCGGGTCTCCTGGGGGCCGGGACCGCCCCTGGCCTCAGAGGAGGAAAAGGCCAGTCAGCCCGGTCCCAGGTTGTGGGAGCAACGTCGTCATTGAAGAGCTGTTTCGGCCAGCATCCAGTCCTGTTCCTCCAGTGTTCCTGTCCTTGCCCGGCTCCTCGATGTGGACCCCGCTTCGCCCGTGGAGGACTGTCTGCCGACCCTCGACTCAGGTCCTGGACCTCGCCCCACGGTAACCTCCCCCCGGGACCAGCACAATTTGTCTCACAGGAAGCAGAACACAGGATGGATCAGGACCCGAATTTGCTCCCCAACTCCCTGTAACACACGCACACCTCTCGCGGTCCCTTTCGTGCCGTTAAATCTATCGCCCACAGTTCACCCGCCGCTCGGTCCCCGGGGTGATCAGGATGCCGGCAGTTGAGCATTAATAGGAAATGTATTACATGCTTGGCGGGATTAGAGATTGAACACACAAGTGCCATTAGAGGCTGCCGACGCGTCTCGCTGCCTCCGCTGATAGATTAAACGGATCCAGTTACCAGCCCTGCCGGCCGCTCCTGAACGTCCCTTAATTAAAATGCACCCTTCGCAGAAGGCGCCCAGCCAGCCAGGGAGAACAGAAGCACCTCTGTGTACGTTGCATGTATCTTTATCGTCGCAAAGCCGCTTTCGAGGGCTAGATGGTGAAAAGCAGGATATACATTTTTAACACAGACAAATGAATACGTTTCAAATCAGGAAGGCTATTGTGCAGAAGATGGAGCAGGACTTAAGGACCAAGGAGTGGAAATTGCAATAATTTTAAACACTCGGTAATTGCCAATGGACTCTAGTATGCGTCTTTTTAGAAGTTCCAATGAGTTCGCTTCCAATAATGTGTACTCGCCACACATAGAAGAAGAAGAAGGGTTTGGATTTGATATCCCGCTTTATCACTACCCGAAGGAGTCTCAAAGGGACTAACATTCTCCTTTCCCTTCCTCCCCCACAACAAACACTCTGTGAGGTGAGTGAGGCTGAGAGACTTCAGAGAAGTGTGACTGGCCCAAGGTCACCCAGCAGCTGCATGTGGAGGAGCGGAGATGCGAACCCGGTTCACCAGATTACGAGTCCACCACTCTTAACCACTACACCACTACTACACTCTACTACATAGAGAGGTTTTCATCTCTCGGCTCTGTAGTATGCTGTCCACGGATACTTTGCCCAAGAATTACACCCGAGAAGAACCCTGATGAGCCCTCTCCTTCCTGCCCCCAAACAGCAGGAAAAGAACATTTCACGTGCATGCAGTTATTTAGAGATTCCATTCGGTATTCATAGCTGGAATTTCCTCAACCAACACCTTCTCTTCCCCCACTCACCTGCCATACTACATGGGCTCGTAAAAGAAATTCATTTTGCTCCTTTCTTCACCCTCATCATCCGGGGGCTAGATAAGCTCCCATTAATGGACGCATGACCTGGCGCCACACAGCCGGGGAACGCTTTAGATGCTGCCTACTGGCTCCAGGGCCAGAAGCCGTATGCTTCTAGCATGAGGGGGAGAGGGGAATGCTCTTGCACCCCGTCTGTGGGTTTCCCATTGGGGTACCTGGTGTGAGAACAGGATGCTGGACTAGATGAGGCCCCTCTGGCATGATCCAGTAGCCAGGCTCTTCTGTTAGTCTTAGCTGGGGCCAAGCCATTCACTTGGAACTCTCTGCCTCATGGGTACCTTCTCTGGATGGACCAGGCTTCAGCCACGGCTGTGGTGGGGCAACCATTGGCCCCCCAGCCAGTATGAGCAATGGGCAGGGACCATGAGAGCTCCCGGTCTGCCCCACGGAGGACCTTAAGGTCCATAAATAGCAACACCCAAGAGGTCCCGGGCCCTAAGGAAGTCAGATTAGCCTCAGCCAGAGCCAGGGCCTTTTCAACACTGGCTCCGGCCTGGTGGAACGCTCTGCCTCATGAGACCAGGGCCCTGCAGGATCTGATTTCTTTCCACAGGGCCTGTAAGATAAAGTTGTTCTGACTGGCCTTTGGCTTGGAATCAATTTGATTCCCTCCCCCTCTTCTTCTGTGTTGGAACTCCTATTTGGGGACTTCCCTGGCTTTTTTCTGGCCCATGTAGGACCAGTCTAGATAATTGGTGCAGACTTGACGTTTTTATCCCCAAAAAAGTTTTTGATTGAGTTCCACTGAAATGAGACTGCATTTTAATGTATTAATTTTGTATTTTAATTTTGTTTTTTTAAGATGTATTCCATTGTTTTTATATTTGGTGTTAGCCGCCCTGAGCCTGGTCTTGGCTGGGGAGGGCAGGGTATAAATAAAGTTTATTATTATTATTATTGTTATTATTAATATTAAATCCGCCAACATTTTTTGGGTGGGGGGCAGCTCCTCCATAGCTTCTTCTGTTCTTAAGGGAGGAAGGTGAATAAAGACACCTCTTTTGCATATACAGTGGTACCTCGGTTACATACGCTTTGGGTTACATACGCTTCAGGTTACAGATTCCCCTAACCCAGAAATAGTGCTTCAGGTTAAGAACTTTGCTTCAGGATGAGAACAGAAATCGGGCTCCGGCGGCGTGGCAGCAATAGGAGGTCCCATTAGCTAAAGTGGTGCTTCAGGTTAAGAACAGTTTCAGGTTAAGAACG